AGTTAGATGATGTTGGCGCTGGGAAACTCAGAGAAATGCTCGCGTTGCATTCAAACCGACACGCCGTTCACGGTAGGTTCACACTAAAAGATGACTGTGAGCGTCAGGTTTGGAACGCCGGGGCCGCTTCGTGAACTCAAAGAGAGAATTGTCGATCCATGTAGTACATGAGCAATTAAGAAGCACAATTTATGAGCAAAGTATTTCACCAGCTGTCGTAGTCAGTGAAGAGAACAGCTCAGTTGCCGATGAATGGCAGATGAATCCTGATGTTACGCACGTCCATGAGCGAGGAACGTGACAACTTTGCCATGTTAGAAGACTGGCTTTTCCTTTAAATATTTCCTTCAANTCAGGTTTGGAACGCCGTGGCTGCTTCGTGAACTATCGATCGATGTAGTACATGAGCAATTAAGAAGCACAATTTATGAGCAAAGTATTTCACCAGTTGACGACACTATGGCTGAAGACTTGATTGTAAGCCGTCATAGTCAGTGAAGCGAACAACTCAGTTGCCGATGAATGGCAGATGAATCCTGATGTGACGCACGTCCATAAGCGAGGGACGTGACAACTTTGCCATGTTAGAAGACTGGCTTTTCCTTTAAATATTTCCTTCTATTTAATGCAGCACACGCCACTTTGGAGATCTAAATTTCGGATACTGAGGATAAAGAAGACACGGACAAAAATAGGAACTCTGAGAATTTCGCACCCAAGTTTAAAGCTTCTCCGGGACATCCCATCCGGGAGCTTCACAGAGAGCGACTTGAGGAAAATAGGAGCTATTACTGACAAGGTTTGGTGACTGAGTAGAACATACAAGTGTAGCCCACGTCGAGGTTTCAGGGGGTTTGCTTTTGTTTGTATCTGTATCTTGCTAAGCTTTTATCATTAAATTTGTACATGATCTTGTGATCACAATTCTGTGTTTTCGCCCATTCAGCAAGCACGCTATACTGATGTCAGCATTAGCGAGTTCCAGAAACATGCCTTTGAAAATTTTCAGCTCTCGTGATGTTTCTTGATATTTCTTCTACCATTTTATGGAGATTTAAACTGAAGTCACCGCAAAATGGAAACTTAAAAAAACGTATAATCCATTTATCTCGAAACATAATACACATGACTTATATGCTTATATGACCTTTATTTTCCTAAAGGTGTTTTGAATACGAACGAACACAGTCAATGTGAGGGGCAAAAACAGCATTAATATACTCAGTAAATGAACCATAGGGTTTTAACTAATATAAGGGTCAATTATTGTGCATTGAGATGAATCGCTTGAAAAGAGAGACTTCGCTTGAAGATGTGATCAGAAGTAAACAAAGTCACAATAGTGCGTCACGTTGAGTCTTTTTAATATTCAAGGACTGTGAATAGTGATTCCATATTGTTTAGCTGGCACAAAAACTTCGGAGGAGTTATAAAGCGGCATAGTTATCGTCCTTATTAAAAGTTAGTCATGGGTGAGACAAACAATGAACTCGAGCGAATTTTCAACTCATATCGGTATCAGGTAAAAAATATGTTTTCGATCGTTTGTTTGAAGTGGGTGCTGAGGAAAGCGACATGCGAGCGAGAAATCTTTAAACTTTTTTAGGTGACAAAATGCAAAGGATTTTATTCCTTTAAGTAAGCAGGGGCGTAGCGTCCATATACGCACGTACGCCCGTGCGTACAGATTAGATCTGAGGAAAAATTTTTTCTCATTAAATTTGCTGGCTAATAATTTCATATTTTCACATTATACTGGCGTTTTTTTATTAGAATTCCCAGTATCCAAGCATTAATCATTCAGTGCTGGCCACTAATAATAGCAAAATGCATTTGAGTGGTAAGCAAAAATAGGAAAAACGCCTCATGTACCCCTCCCTCAAGGTCAGCCAGCCTCACCAGTTTCCCCAGCCCCGCAGGTATTCTTGAAGGAGAGGTTACTATGCCATGACGTGTGGCTTCAGAACAAAACGTATTTGCCGTCAACGGAGATTAGGAATATACTTGTGAGGTCAAACAGTGAAGCCCCAGTGATCGATTTCCCGAAGAAACTGTTAGAGAATCCTATGAATATTTCTGCGACTTGAGGAGCGTGATCACTGGCTTCTGTGGTGTTTTCGTGTGTTTCGTGACACAGAGTACACACATATGGCTCGAAAATCGATACACGATTACTTCAACGTAGCTAACAAGACAACTGAACAACGTGCAGAAGAAGCTGAAGGTACGTAGGCATAAATTCTGAGGATGAGTTTAAAACCGAACTCACAAGATGGAAGCACAAATGGAGTGGCATGGATCCGAATGTGACGCCGCAGACTTTGGTTGAGACTCATGACCACGCAAACACCCAATTTTATCCCGGTGTATATGTTGCTCTCGTAACATTGTTAACTTATCCTGTGTCTACATGTACTGCCGAACGTAGCTTCAGCTAAATTTCAAAATTTTCTGGGGGAGCATACCCCCAGACCCCCCTAGTTGTACGCCCCTTTGGCGCTTAGGAAAAATTTATTCTCCTGCGTACATCTTCAAAATCCCATGCTACGCCCCTGGTAAAAGAAAAATACCAAGAGGAAAATCTTAAAACTAAATATATTTTTTATCTTTTGAAAATATTGCGTTTTCATGTAGACTGTAGACCGCAAATTACGATCGTCTATTTACTGCACGTTTCACAAACATGCAAATAAGCCAACCGACGATTGCGGTTTTCGCTGCTGTCAATCATCTTATCTTAACGGACCTCTTAGGAAACAAAACTTTACTTCACGGGTTCAAAAGGTCATGGTTTGTGATTTGTGGATTTCGATCCGTTTTGTGTTTCTCTGTTTCAAGGTTCGTCGCTTGTGATCGTAATTATGATTGACGGCAGCGAAAAACACAATTGTGAAGGTGGCTTTTGAAGTTTAGAGTTCGCATGTTTGTGAAAAGCGCAGCAAAGTCTCAGTGCAGTCAGAGGCCCCCGGATCAGGCGGGATCAATGGGCAGTTCGCTGTCTGTTTTAGTATACTTCTGGTTTTCATATAATACAATGTTTCTGTCTAGTGTAAATCAGCTCCGTCCGTCGCACTTTATGCTCGTAGAACGACAACAATTTTTGGAATTTCCGGTTACGTCAAATTAGTCACGTTAAACTGTCACGCTATATCTTGGGGCACAGAGGAATTGGGGGAGGGGTGCGTGAAAATAATGCAAATCGTTTCCTGCTTAGAATTAATGGCTAACTTGTTTGTTTTTATTCATAATGGTGGAATTTAAAAGTTATTATACAGCCCCCACTTAAAAATGGTACTCTTTTTTTTGGTTACGAAAGTCTTTCAAACGGGTACAATGTTCTGAAGGAGTTTCTGTTTCAATCTCACATGAGATTCTGTCGCATGCAATGGTCGGCGACAAGGTTTTGTAGTAGCCTGCGTCTGTATAGCCGCCCCCTCCCCTCAGAAAAAGTAGCCCCTTTGCAGCCCAGTTAAAAATCGCCTTTCGGCGATTCTTGTTTTTAAAATATACATGTTCTTATATATGCCGTATCCCATTACAATATTTGAAAGCTAACCGTTTTCAGTTCAGTGCTTAACCCTAATCACTGCATATCAGTGCTTAACTCTTTACTGTGTTCTCTCCATACCTGGCGCTCTGTAGTTTTGGTTTCTTCAGCTATTCTAGCCTCATTCTACGTTCCAGTCTCGTTCCAATATGAAAATAGTGCGTTATGTAAAATTCATAAGGTGTCCAATCTGGCTTCACCTTCGAGGTACGAGAACGCAACCCCTAATTTGTGTTGGGTGTTCTGTGCATTATTGGGTGTCTTGTGCAATTAATAAGGGAGGTCTTTTTGAGATTGCATTTTCGTCGTCGACACACATTTGCCTCGCTTTGAGGCGCTTGCTTACGTTTTGCCTCACTTTGACGCGCTAGCTCACGTGGTGATTCTTGTGTCCTCGGCGTTCATCTTTCAAAGGTTTGCTGAGGTCTGATATTCTGTCTTCGTAAAGCGTTCATCTTTTTAAAAAGTTTGCTGAATCTTCGTAAAGCGTACATCGATCTGTGTTTGCTGAATCGTCCAAAGCGTTCATCTTTCAGAAGTTTGCTGTTAAATTTTACTTTGGATTAAGCCTTCGTATTTTTCAGCATGGTTCGTCACTGTCTTTGCAAAATGTCTGCGACTCCCGGTGCATGCATCAAACCGAGTTTAGTTCGGCGGCCGTTGTGCCACGAAGTAAATCTACCGAGATGTGAAGCTCGGCGGCGCCATTTGATCATGACTTGTGATATTTTCGGCACCGGACAAACGAACGAACACTTTAACTCTATGTTATTTATTAGGAAAAACTTATAAAACAGCCCACAGTAGCGCCACTCTCGAGTCACTGAAATCAACACGCTCGACCAAATTACTGGAAAAGTTAGTAGTTATAGAAATGGTCTTTCTGAGCCAGCTTAATAGGACAAATAGTATTAACAAAATTCCTGAGTATGCGCAACAATATAAAAAAGAGTGGTTGTACATACATGGAATAAATAAGAGTATAGAATCATTTATTAAAAGAAAACATGATTATTTTCCTGAAGGAAAAAAATTTAGTAGTTTATCCGCAAATCAAATAAAGAAATATTTTGATAGTTTTTTAAGAGGTCAAAAAAATGGGAGATTACAACAAGATATTTCATTTACATTTAAAAGAAACAGATGTTAATTTTATATATAGATTAGAAGAAGATTTAGAAATTTACTCAGATGTGTTTTACGCGTATTATGAAGATAATATTCCAGTTTTTGATTTTGATCCGAATGATAAAATTAAGTATGATGAATTTTGTGAAAGTTTTGAAAAGTTTAAGTCACAGTTAAAACCTGATTATCCTACTTATTTTGAAATGTACAATAGGTTTATTAATAGTGATGATAGTGATTATTATTTATATGATAGTGATACAGATAGTGATTAGTCTTCTAACAATGTTGTTACAAGACTTTTAATATAATCATCTAATAAAATATGGAACCGAGATCAAGAGAAACTACTCCTACTCAAGAGGATTTGGATTTTATAGTTGATGATGGTTATAAACATGACGAGGATCCAGATTATGTTCCAGATGATAAAAAATATCTAGTTAGTGGAAATGATTTCAAAAAGTTAACTCGGAGTGCTAAAAAACTAGGTGCTGAATCGCTTGATTATTCAACACGAAAAAATAACAAATATATGGCAACACTTCAAAGCGGAAAGAAAGTTCATTTTGGATCGCCAAAATATCCAGATTATCTTATTCATAAAGACAAAGAAAAAAGAGATAAATATCTAGCTAGAGCGACAAAGATTAAAAATAAACAAGGTGAGTTAACTTATAACAATCCGGAATCAGCCAACTATTGGTCAACACGACTTCTCTGGCCAAAAAAGTGATTTAAAGATTATATAAAAATAAAATTGAAAATAAATTAAGGCTTAAGGATTAAATTATTATAATAAAAAATGCAGTTATCAGCTTACGAAAATCTTACTCCAGAGAATATTATTTTTAATGATCCTAAAGAGTACAAAGTAAAAGATAGCAAAATCAAATACAAACGTATTCCAATTGAAGTTAGTTATTCAAATAACAAAAAAGGCCCACTCGTAATAGAAACTCCAGTTCTTTTCTCTTTTGGAGTAAGTGAGAAGAAAAACCAAGAAACAAATAAGTTAGTAGGCTACTCTATGCCAGTATGTCTTTGGGCTAAAGATAGTGAGCCGTCTACTAAAGAGCGTGCATTTTTTGATGTTATTAATAATATAACAACTGCCTCTCAGCAATATTTAGAGAATGAATACGGTGCAGATTTAGCATCAACTTTATCTTCACCATTTTATTTCAAACAAGAAGAATATACAGATAAGAAAGGAAAGAAGAAAACAAGAATAGATAATTCATCAGCACCAGTTCTTTACGCAAAACTTATTTACTCGGAAAAATCTAAGAAAATTATTGCACTATTTAAAACAAAAGGAAAGAAGGATTTAAATCCTTTCAAATATATTAATCAGTACTGCAATGTTAAAATGGCACTAATAATCGAAGGAATCTTTATTAGTAAGACTGTAACATCTTTACAAATAAAAGTACATGAGTGCTATGTCAAACCATTAAAACCTAGGGAGTCTTTACTAACAATTGAAGAGGAAGAGAGTGAGGGTGAAGAGATAACTGATCAAGTAGTTGAAGACTTACTTTCATCTGATAAAGAAGAAAATGAGTAAATAATAGGATTTTATTTTTTAATACAATATTTGTATTAAAAATCAACCAAATCTTTAGAACTCACCCACGAGTTAAATTTATCAGGATATCCACTCCATTTTACTAGTGCAATTTTCTTTTTATTATCCCTTCTGATAACTTTTTCTATTCTAAATGTCTGTTGTTTTGCTTTCTGTAATTCTTGTTCATAAAAAGAACCCTTGATCTCTTCTCCCATCAAATCAACAATGTTATACGTAACAGGTTTTGTTGTAATAACTTTATCAATTA